ACAAACAATTTAAAAAAAAAAAAAAAAAATAAATTTTAAACAAAAAAATATTAATTTCATTTAAAATTCATTAACTATTAAGATTTTTAAAAATTAAAAAAAAAAAAAAAAAAAAAAAAAATTTATGATAAATATTTGCTGAGACAGGCTTTCTTAATCATGGCTGCTAAGTTAAGACCGCACATGCTGCGCCGTATGACAGTCATAGCCAGTTTGCTGACAACTTAATCTATAGTACGCCCTCTGTCAGCTCTCAATAATGCGACGCTGTCGGATGATGGTAACAGACTGAGCAGATTGTCTTCAAAGCAGATTTATTCTGCCATCCTATGGCAAAACAACGCAACTGCTATTATATTTTTGATTAGTTATGTGTCAGCTGAGAGGGTGGGGCTTGGATTTACCCGACAGGGGGCGCTAGGTCCCCCACGGAGGGGGGGCTTAAGTCCCCAATGAAAGCAAAGTGGATGTGGCTGAGCATCGCTCCAAATCTTTTAAAAATGGTCAAGGGGGCGAAGCACCTGGAAAAATTTTGACAATTTTGTGTTTCAAAGGATTATTTTATCAATTTAGAGTCTAATATGTTAAAAATACACATAATTTTGTTTTCTCCCCAAAGAACTGTGGTTTTTCTCACCGACAGGGGGAGGGGGGCAGCTCTCCCTGCTGAGGCCACCCCTGTCAGCCGATGACTGTTGGCGAAGTGTGTGACCAGCTTAAAACTGAAAAATTGTTGAAATGGTATGGCCACAGAAATTGGGATGTATACATATAGTATCAGAAGTGAGCTACTGACACCAGGGTCTTAAAATATTATTATTATTTTTATATGTAGTTACTATAATGGTTGTAGTATTCTTAATATTTAAACCAAGTAAAAGTATAATAATAATATGTACACGTATAGCAAACAGAAATTCTAAATCCGAGCTCATTCACAAATCAGTCGTAACTGTCCACGTCGTCAAATAGAACCATACAGCCAACTGGAAAAATGCAAAAACCCATAGAAAAATAATATATTTGGCAAAAATGACATATTAGAGAAGCACGGTGGATAACAAAGAGGAAACACAACATGAATAGCTCCTGAAAATACGGGCCCCACAGACATCCTGAAAGGACAGCTGGCAGAGGACGCTTTTAAAGCCTGAATAACTTTGTATCATCATCCAACTCCCAGCTTCTTTGCCCGAAAAAGATCCACTTTTATACTGTAGTGGAATGAAACATTGCAGTACATATATATCTTTACTTGGTTTAACATTAAGAATACTACAACCATCAACACAAGGGTCACTAGAGTAAAATCAAACAGAAATGATTGAAAAAAAAATGGACAGCAAGACATACAAATAATATATTTACATCACATGCATTCATGTACATTTTTTACAACACCCAAAAAAAAAAAAAAAAAATCATTTACGTAGCAAAATCTACCAAAAAACTAGATATGGCTGATACTTACTTATTTTGAAGATCTGCAGCACTTTACAGACAAATTAGAACAAAATAAATTGAAAAACTTAAATCCAGTCAATAATTCAAGTTCAGGAAGCACAAAGAAGGGGAAAATGTATAAAATACTTTAATTTATAATCGGTGAGTAGAGCTGATCTTTTGTTTTATCATGAGTTTGAAGTGTGGTATGATATTTTTTTTCTTCAGAAATTGGAACTCATTTGAAGGCAAGTATCTAAGCCACTGCATCAGATCCACATCCTACATCTTTCAACTTCATGTTCTCTGTCTTGCTGTCACCAGAAATTGAAGGTAAAATAAACGCAAAAGCAGTCATAAAAGAAAATACAAACCTTTCGACGGCACAAACATTGGACAGTTTATCTGGGTCCAACTTGAGGGAAGCGCTGTCTTTGGAAGGTTTTCGTATGCAGCCTAGTAGCGTTTCACCGTGGCGGCGTGTGCTAAGGATGTCTTCCTTCATCTCAGTGCATTTCACCGTGTGGTCGTGAAGCATTCGCTTGGCTGCCTCAAGGTCGTTTGGAAGCTCATGTTGGTTCATTTCATCAGATATAGATTGCACGATGCGAGAAGTTTCATGACAATTCGCAGCAAACCTCTCAATAGCCTTATGGGAAATAAAATAATGTGAAATTATCATAGAGGGCGCTAATACTGAAGTTCATTGCATATCAACAAATAAACAAAAGGTAAAAACATAAGTGACAAATTTTTATAAAAAACATACCATTTTCAGAATTAATCAAAAAGAGAAAGTTCGTTCCATAGCAATTTTGTTTCTTTACAAGATCGTACTTAAGCATTTAAGAGGTGTGACTATGTCACTATTTGTGCTTCCCGACTAGTCATCTAATTTTCCATCAAATCTCTGATATTAAATTCAAACAGGAGTTTCTTTGTTCTGATTTTTATAAATAAATACTACAGGGAGAATAAAAGGAGGAAGTTTTAGAGAAATTAATTTAACAATGTTGTGGGATTATTTCAGCAACATGCAACTTAATCTCTGAGCCGGCGTGCTGTTCGTGGCCGTACCACCTAAATTCTTACCATTCTATCTTCGATCCAAAGTTGCAGATTAAACCTAATGGTGCCTTTGAAATCAGTCGTTAGCTGTGAAGGGTCAATATGTGAATGAAGTTCCTCCACCGTGTCAAGTAATACCGTCTGAAGAATCAACAATAACATCATAGTTTTAGCACAAATAATAAATAATACCGTTTAAATTTTAATAGCTTTCATCTACATAGTAAAATTCAGAAAGAAAATGTCTTTAGGATTTCAAGATTTCAAAATTTATTTTAATTGTACTACAAAATACAATTTTATTTATTTTATTTTATTTAAATTCACATTCAACAGCAGAAAGCCTGCCATTGAAAGCATGGAATACTTGAAACAATGACAATACCAATTACATGTAACACTGATAATACAAATTAAAAATATCTAGTACATGTGCTGCGTACCAAGATGGCAGAAGCCTGTAATAAGCTCCTGAACTTTTGTAAAAGTAATCACCAATGCCACATAAATAAACATTGTAGTATCTATTATTTTATGTGCCCATTGACCATTGCCTTTATGAACTACATCAAATTATGAATGACAATTTTGATTAAAAAATAAGCATATAAATCTGTTTATAATAATTTCTCATTTACCTACCAGTATCTATATGGTTTATATAATAGGCTAATAATTAATCCAATTATATTCATTCATTATACTAGTTTGCTATCCAAACTCCACTGACCCAAAAGTTCAAACAATAGGGTTGCCTTTTTCGTTAACTAAAATCTATATTTTTCAACTAAAAGTGAGTCCAAAATACTAAGAATGAATGATAATTATTTAGAAAACCAATGAAATTTTTTGACCCGATTATCGACACTGATTTATTGTGTCACTGTGCTTGGGTAACAAAATTTGTTTAGGGTCCAATCAAGAAGTGCCATTGGCTTCATTTTGTAAAAATGGGCTTCATTTTGATAAATCCTCCTCTATACCTGTTGAAAATATTATATACTAGCTCTCAATAGACTGTACTAGCCTATGAAGCAGCGGGAGCACTACTGATATAGAATAGGCCTCTGTAAACAAGCCTGCTAGTTAAAATGTAATGCATGCATAATATAATAAACATGCAGTAGTACTACCAGATTATTCATTCACAATGAGTCATCAAGTTCACTAGCTACATAAGTGACAGTCATAATAACAATAGAAATTTATGATAAACAAAATTGCATGATCTGTCATGTCAAATGATAATCTTCCATCTTATTTTGGCCTCATATATATTACATTTTATAGTTAAACATATTGTATTATTAAAAGGCAGAACTGAATAAATTAAAGTTTATTGTGATGTTTAACAATTGATTTACTATAAAAATATAAACATAAAAGATCAAGAATACTTATAAAAAATTATAAAAATAAATTAATTGTCCTCGATGGGAAATGAATTTATGTTTTTGCCATAAACGACAGAATTACATCACTTTATACTAACAGGCAGAGGAAAGAACATTTTTTTGTTGTTGTTTAACTGTTCATTTACTATACAAATATACTGTAAATGAAAATAAATGAAGGATATAATATTATTTTGAGCACTCATACCTTAAATTTAAATTCGTCTTTAACAAAACTGAAGCCGATGTCGGAGAATTTCCTGGAAAACCATCCACATGGTTTAATGATATAAATACACTGCATACTACCTGGAAAGAAACCCTGAAAAAAAAAAAAGTGGAAAAGATTAACTACAAGAATCATTTTGCAATTATGATCATTTATATTTACATGACATTTTTTGGTGAGTAATAATTTGATTTAGTCCACCTTCTAATGCACTTACAGAACCGATTAGGAGCAGTGCACTTTTTAAACACACTTTGCCTGCGGTCGACGCGTACCACACCAATTAACTGCACGTATGGCCAAAGGCAGCCCACGGTGCCCACTGCCAAGATTTTAGGTCTATGTTTTAGCATGCAAAGCGATTTGAAAATTTGTTAGAATTCAACGTCAACTATATAATTCAGAAGGACCTTCTGGGGATTACACAATTTAAACATGAAATAATCTTAGTGAAATAATCTAAAATATAGGTCATTGTTAATAATATATTGTTCATTATAATTATTATTTTAGCTGTTAAACAATAGAATAAATTATATGAAAATAAAGTTATACAGTTATTGTGTCCCTTTGTTAAACTGTCCAAACAACAATATATTGATGGATTTGAGCTTGACAGCTCTTCATAATAAGAATGTATTTATTTACTGGTATAATCAGCTGTTAAATGAATTAATAAATTAATTATAATATTGATCATTATTATTAGATATTGTTATATTTTCATTAGAATTATTATTTTATCTGTTAAATACAAGAATAAATAATATAAATATAGAGTAGAATAGCAAAAAAATACTGTGCTTAGTAATTCCTTTTGTTCACTCCCCAAACAACAATATTTTGATGGATTTAAGCTTGAATGACTTCAGAATTTCAATGTCTTTATTTGTCATATTATAACAATTCAATACATACACACAATACCAGGTGAAAGGTACATTGCCCCCAAATCAAAATTCATCATTGACTTAAGAAAATCCAAATCTGACTAGATAAACAACTGCAAAATACGTTCAAAAATTTCTAAAAGAACAAACGTGATCATCAGTGATTCATAATGACAAAAACTTTAAAGTACTAAATTTTTAACTCCTTCACTTAACACAACAGACTATTTGACACGTTACAATTATAGTCATTAGTATAGTACTATCACATTCAAAGCTTTATCAAATTTAATTTACTGTCTAAACCAGGTGATGTCCCTGGGCTTAAATTTACTATTCAATACTTGGTGAAATTAAATCATGCTTTAGTCTTCATCCTTTCACCAATCTGCGTGTGTGGGGGTGTGTATATGTGTGCATAAGTACCTAATACGCCGTCGTATTTAAGAAGCACTTTAAATTATCGTACCGCTATCCTGTACAGGAGTGTCTTAACGCTGCTCCATGACTCATTGCGACGATCTGCGATGATGGCGAATCCCCTGTCTGCTTCAATCATGCTGAAAATTATCAGAAAAATAAAAAATGTAGTAAGGCAAGCATGGATAAATAACTCAATAATACCTTGTGCCATACACAGAGTCAAAGCACTGTGGTAAAAGTAATATAGTTACAAAAAAATATTTAGAGTCGTAGGAAAATGATAGTTGTAACTATTATTTTCTATAATAAAATTAAAAGAGGCTACTATTAACAAAAAATATACTACACCCTCTGCTGGTCAGCTGTTTTTCATGCTACTCTGTATCTTCTAATACATTTTAATTTAGAGGTAACTTTGAGGGAGGGGGGCGTTATGGATATCGATCTTTACCCATTGAGAGGTTTTATTTTATCTTTCAAGGAAAGGGTTAGTGGGAGTGATGGCTATGTTATTACACACCAGTTAACAAGGAATCGATGAGGAAAAGGACTGTGATGGGGAAGGGGGTTCTTTCCTATATAAACCACCAACCTATGTGTACCGGATTTAGCGTTAAGTTGCGAACTCACTGCTTCGTACGACGGTCGTATGACCGTCACACGACAAACCCAACTCTGCTCCCTGTCAGCGCTAGACGACACAGCGCCGTCTGCTGATTGTCGGTGGTCGTCTCAACGAATAGTCCTAAACAAGCTAAGTTGCATGCGCATTGTCGACTAGCCGACTAGCTCTAGGCTTTGATTTAAAGATAGTCTTGTGTGAAAGATATGATTAAGCTGAAATGATACCTTAACACAATTATTGATTAATATAATACTGATTGATTAATTGATTGATTGATTGATTGATTGGTAGAGTATTAAAATTCCCACTCTAATCATCAACTTTGTAAAACTCATGGTTGTAACATTTGACACCCTTTCATGCATATTTCCCAATTAAATGACAAAAAATACCATCTGTATCAAGTGTATCGATATTAAAAACTAATTGTGCACAATAATCAAATGATAGTGTTTGTTTTGGCAATTCAGAGACACTAATTAGCCAGCAGTTATCGCAAGGACAATGTTAGGGTCCTTCATGCAACAAATGAAAGTAGTGTAACTAGATAGGCTACAGGAAAGCAATGTGAAAAATATTTACCCTATTATCCCATTGTAAAGAGAAAATGTTAGATGAATAAAAGTCGCTGAAAGGAAGGGAGTGTTCACATCGCAACCCTGTTTCTAAAAATCAATTCACCATTATACACGCTGAGTTTTAGAACTAAATCATCATAACTCAAGAGGGTATGAACTCGTGTATGGACTTGATAAGAAGAAAATTTATGAGGGTGAAAAAACGCTAAGCTTATATTACTTTACCTTCTTTAGTGTACATGCGTTAACAATAATTTAATATTCCAACCTTTATTTCAGAAAATTAATTAAATTTTAAGAATTTACTAATTGGGATGTATACGCATGTTAACACCTGTCAGTCTTGGGAGATAAACAGTTAATTACAGGAAATATTAATTACCTTACTGCGATACTAGGCCTACAGAAGCAGTGTGATCAAAACAACACATAGGATATCACTAAAGATGATATAGTGGCATGATGGTGGTTTTAAGGATAGGATTAAATCCCAAAATCCTAGGTTAAAATAACAGTAAAATGGCAGAATTTGTCTATTGAATAAAACAATCTCTACTCCCTTGGGCAAGACTTTTTATTTGTGTAGCGAAGCCTCTGGCTGCCAAAAATAAAATTTTATTTTCAGTCAGTTAATGCACTCTCTGCTATGATAAAGGTATATTTCAGGAAAAAAAAGTTTATTTATTAATTTTTTATTGCACTCTGCAGTCCCCTGAAATCTCCAAGATATATTTCTTCCTTAACTATTAATAATAATTATAGATCTATCTACACTGAGTGCATTTTGTTAAAAGTCTCAAAGCACTTTACATTAGAAAATTATCTCAGTACTACACTGTTTATGTTCATCAATAATATTTTTTTTTTCTCCTCTGCCTAGATGCTAAATAAGAAAACAAAATTTTATTTTTATTTCTTTTCCACCCTCCTCTGACAACCTCTAAAAAAAAATTTTAGAGGTATTATAAAAGTCTCACCTTGCCTAGAATTCATTCATATTAGTAGAGAATTTCATAAGCTTCAAACTATTAAAAGATTATTTCTATTTTATTTCTCAATGGACTAAGCTGGCCAACTCAATAATGATTCAGCTAATTTTTTGGAAATCCTGTACAATTGATAGTTATCACTTTTCACTTCCATTATGTGGTTTTCATGTACATTTTAAGGTAGTATGTGAGGACTACATTAAATATTATTATTGGTATCTGGCCAAATGCTGCTTTAAAATAAAAAATCAACTACCAAAGGTATGCTTATAATTTTATTATACAGCTATAACATGGTTCCCATTCGAGTAGATTTCTCTTAACGAAAATGTTACCTTCACTTACATTATCATTATCTTTATCATACTCATACTGTACCATTATTTTTGCAATCTGCGATATCATTATCATTATCTTTATTACCTAACATTATCATTTCCATATTATCATTATCTTTATTACCTAACATTATCATTTCCATTATCATTATTATTAGGCCTATTAATATTAATTTATAATTACTATAAACTGTAATTTCTATCAAATCATCATCATTAGGCCTAAAAGAAAAACATGTTTGTTTGCCGTCAACCGCCGCTCATAAAATCCGAAAAATGAGGGGTAGGATTTTTTTGGTTTTTTTTAAAGTTTTGTTTTCCTTTAAATTTAAAAAGAAAAAAAAAAAACGATTTTGATTTTACACGACCGACAGTTCCATAGTATGTCCACTACGATCATTTCACGCTTGGTTAATTGTAATCTTTTCTCTTCTCGTGGTTAGTACTACTACTACCAAGGTGATACAATGTCGGTTGCTGAAATTTGTATCTTTTTTTAACACATTTAATAAGTATAATTAAGCTGGTCTTACTCCAATTAAAGATCCCTATTCCAATCCCAAACCACAAAAAAATTAGCCTGAAATTGCAAGGAGACCTATCGTGTACATATATTCAGTTTCTACATTTAAAAAAAAAAATGTTTATAACACTACGTATCTTCTACAGACCTCTATGGAGACCGTTTTAGTAATCTTTCTTAAAAAAAAAAAATTCACTTATATATTTACAATGTGACAGCAAACAAACCATTTTTTTTAGGCCTTATCCTAAGCATTATCAAATTATTATTTAACATTACATCAAAAGCTATAACTAATGTTAGCATCTAAGTTGGATTTGACTATCAGGATACAAAGTTGTAAAATATTATAAACATTTCATTCAGTAGTGGTACAGTATTGTACTTATTGAGAGCCCGACATTAATTATGACCAGGAAATGAAATTGTGATGACATTGTCAGAGGTTCAAATGAAAATGTGACCCAAAAGCTATTCTAAAAAAGAAAGAATGCAGAAATAGAAAAGATAAAAAAAAATGTAATTAAGCCTACTAAAATATTCACTACAAAATAAAAACAAACACAAAAACTATAGGCCTAAATAATTAATATACTAAAAATAATAAAATTAAATAAATTTAACATAATTAGAAGAATGTAAAACAAATATAAGTTAATTAAAATCATTAAAAAAGGGTTACAAAAGAAATATAAAAGAACTTAAAATTCATGCAGTAATACATTCAAGATACCTTTCTTCATAAGTCCGAAGAAAGCTGCAATACGAACATCACAATAAAAATACAAAACAATATGAAACAAAATATAACAGAATATAAAAACTAATAATATTACATTATCTCATTATTATAAATATTGTTGGATTGCAAACATTAGGTTCTCTGGCAAATATTGCAGTAGCAGAATTTTCACAATCTTCACAACAAAATATTCTCAAAAATAGCTAATTTTGATCTAAAGTTTGGATTAGCAACATTCCGTATGTTCTTTACAATTTAGATATTCTGAAAAATGGAAAATTGATCCCAAGTTCTGACTGGCAAAAATTTTGTATGTCCTATAATAATTACAATATAGGCCTATTCTGAAATAATGGCTGTTCCCATCTCAAGTTCAACCACACAGGCTTACATACAGTAGTGATGAAATATACAGATTTTATTGGCACAGTAGTTCCATGTACATATAAATAAGGCACTAATTAATCATAACATATTTCCTAATTGCTGCCTGCATACCTTGGTACCTTAGTCAGGTACAACATGAGCTGTAGGAATCCATCATCAGACAGAGTTGAAAACTTTGCCGTGTCAGGTAACGTGATGATTGGCAGCCCATCTGATGTGCGTCCACCTGTGAAGGAACCCAACAAAGCGCATGATACTAGTTTTTTATTATTATTTGGTATAAAATGAGTACGATGATATTATAATTGCTACATTGAAGTTATAGCATAAATCTAGCAGTTAAGTTAATGCAGTTAAATAATGTACTGTACTCCCGAATGTACTATAATATTCACAGGATTCACAATTTTTATGTACAGTACTGCAATTGAAAAGTACAAGCATTTTGATTCAGGTTATTTTTAAAACTTACATTACAAAATATAAATATGATCAGATAAAGCAAGAGTAGTACAGTATCTGCATCCACAGCAACCTTGTAAACAATATTCATTTTCCCATCCTTAAAAGGCGAAATGAAAATGCAGACGAATATCTTTGTTTCCCAGGGTCTGGGGCCCATGGCTACTGACAGCTCATAGCTGTTACGACACAGAAAAATTGGAAGATATTTTGTGGGATACTTTATCATAAATAATTTCTACTGCCAAAGGACCTTTCTGAAGCTTATCCAATGAGCTGTAAAATAGGCCATGTATAATTAGCCCAGCCATACAGTAGTTGGCCGGTCAAGAATCAAGCTATAAAAACATATAGTAGTTGGTCAAGCATGATAACAATTATATACAATCATTAAATGGACCATGTGTTTTCAATAGATAAGAAAAAGTTTGTATGCAGTATACAGTATATATGATTAAACAATAGTGAACTCTATAAAAGGTTGAGGGGATGTGGTCAAGAGGAAACAAATGAAATGGTTGATTTGCCTACCAAACAGGTACCAGAAATGAAAACCCGAAAGACAGACAAACTACCATAATACAGGGCAGAAAAACACTTTCTCTCATTTCTCATAGAAACATCCATAGTAACAAAAAAGCCAAAACATTGTCACATCTGAAAAGCAGGTTCATTCATTCAAAGCCAAGTATCTCTACAAATGTCTTTGCACGTAGTTGGGAACGATACTGAGTTCAGTATAATTATACGTCGGGTAGGGCAAAAACGTCATTCCTATCAAATTTCCTGACACAAGCAGCAAATTAACTGAAGACTTTTCCTTTACAATGCTGCACACAAATAAGGTATTCTCATGTCAATTGGCAAAAGTATGTTAAAAACAATGCAAAAAATGTAGATAGATTTTGCTTACGAAAATGAAGATTAACATTGTAAAATTAAGTTATTCCATGTCAGTTGAAAAAGCCATGTAAACTGGAGTTTCTGTGCAGGCATTCTGCGCTTGGGTAGAAGTCATCTGTTACAAAGGGATGACAGTGGTGACATAGTACTATCATGTAGGAATTAGTAGAAGATAATTATTCCAATAAACTTTAGATGTACAGATGTCCATCTAATTAAAGACCCCTCACATTGAGGACCACCTCTGATTACAGACCACATTCTCTGGTCCCAAATTAACTGTCTTTTATCTTTATTATTCTAATTAGAGATCAAAGATAGACCATGGAAACTGTGGTATGGAGGAAGAACTGTACTTCAATTACTAGGGAATAAAGTTATCAAACAGGTCTAGTTAGTAAATAAACAAGGTAATCGCTTCAAGGAGATAAGGCATGTTTACCAGCAGGAGGTGTGAAGAAAATTAGTAGTCTTGTGTACCAGCAATTGTTTATGTACAATAAACCATAAGGCACAGTGAAGCTTTTGGTCACAACTAGACACCTTTAAAGGTCAACTGGTCAACTATTTTCACAAGAGTATAAACTAGGAAGAAGGGGAGTCAACACAATATAATGCAGCAGTAATCAGCACAAGGTACTGTAGGCACTACTCCTAAATGACAGGAGACAACCTCTGAGAAAGAGCAAGCTTGCCCGAAAAGACACAAGCAGAATTCACAGTGAATGTTGGAGCCTCCAAATTGAGGGCTCAAATACTATTACTGCTGCACTGTGACTTACTAAATAAAATATTAATAACTGGCCATTATAAACATGATACTGTACTGTAGGTCTATACTCAGAGTACCGAAGTACAAATGCGACTAATTCAACTTCGGACAGCGTACACCATCCCATTGAACGGTATCTGTAATGCTTCCACATTGACATTCCAAATTCCCTGTCACTACTACTGTATATGGGGCCCAAGTCTCCCGTAAGTCATGGAAGTCTCTTGAAAAACGAAAAGGTGCCCTCACACTTATGCGAGTAAGCAAGAATCTGCAGGAAAATTACCCATTATAGAAATTAACACTATTTGTATGTTTTTACTACAGTACCGATATTATCACTGTTTCAGTTGATGTGCCAATGGGTATCACCATCCAAAGTAAAATATCATTAGATGCAATACAAAAGCTCATTTTAACAGATCTCCCATACATGGATTCTTTCAACTTGGGACCTAAAACGATCCTCTACAAATATTCCTCATTATTTCAAAGTGCCTTGAGACCACCTGGGTAAGAGCGTGTGCTTTTAATAAATGTTCATATTATTTTGTTTCTCACCTGATAAGTAACCAACTCCATCCTGCATGGTCTGTGCCACATGCTTTATGCTCACCTCCATCTCCATCAGCTTCTTTAGGTGATCATCATCTACAAGACAAAATAATACAAGTTACTTTATGGTTAAAATCTACAATAAATCAGATAAAAGTGTACTGTATTCTAAACCAATTTGCAAGGTTAACAAGATAAATTAAATTCTCAGAATTTTTCTGATAACGAAAAATATTAATTTAGTTTAAAATATAAAATCAATAAAATTTCTGGAATTGAGTGTCGGGGTCTGTGTGGGAAGCCCTGGTAAGGGTCAAAGAAAATATTGGTCCATTTCCAACTGTTCTGAGATGTTTTTGTTTTTTGTATTATGATGGGGGAGGGGACACTTGGCTTGTCTGAGGGAGGCCATAAATTTCCTTCCCCATATTTGCATCTCAACTACTTGTATATAGGCATGCATTTTAAGTTTTGTAATACATAATGACAAAATTAATGCTGCTATACTACTATAATTGATTAAATGATATTAATGACAAAGATATCAAAATGATAATTGCATGATGATGATGGAAATGGTGATGTAGTTGATGATGATGATGATCTTGATGATGGAGATGATAATGATGCATGGTGATGATGATGATGCTGATGATGGAAGATGACTACAACGATGATGATAAGCACGAAGAATAGTGATGTATGGCAAAGATGATAATGATGACATTTAACAATTTCGTCAGGCCACAAACTTATGTGAAATAATAGAACACTTCCGTTTATCAGACATACAAAATGTGAGTGTCCCTCCACTTAAATGATCACTCAACACTCATTATACATAAACAATACAGACCTGTACTTTCAACTATTCAAGTACACAATGCGAGTCTGTTACCATACATTTTAAATTGATAGATATTCACTTTATTGTGTGCTTAAATTTAGGCCAAGGTTTATGCACAAGAAATGTTTTGTCATGGAAATTAAAACTTAATAACTCCAGTACTTCCTCTAGTGGTACTGTTTCCATCTTATGTTAATCATCGATATTATATACTTGCCAATTTTTTTTTTTGACAGTTAGCATCAAAAGAAGATATCAATATTTCTTTACAATTCTGATAACTTCAAACCTGTTTTATAAGTTTGCGGTAAAACCATCTTTTTTGTTATACAGATGTTGAATGCATCATTGTTCAAGTTCGTACACTGAAAACGCAATAAATCTATTCAATTTTGAGTAAATAATCCATAATTAATTTTGGAAGGATCAAAGAATAGGGTTCATTATCCACACTAGTGTGCCAAAGAATTTTGCACCTACAAGACATACAAAGAACTGGCCCCTGCACCTATTACAGTAGTACACTTTGATAGATATGGTAGAAAATATTAAAATCCTCAGTAATCATTCATAGATTAAAAACATAATAATTATAGGACGAATAGTTTGTTAAACACACTAAAAATATATTTTAATAGGATAATGATTAAGTTGTGTGGAATAATCAAGAAACTGACAACTTAAAAATTCTACTTCTGTTTCATTCTGTTTATATGCATTTCATTTTTGTTATTTATACCTTGATTGCTGTATTATAATTGTGTTAAATTAAGATTCTATTCTTAAACTTTTGTACTTTTGTATTGGAAATGTATACAGTCAACATTCAGAAAGAATAAACAAAAAGTCTTTAAACTGTTACCTTAGAAGTTAAGAATATCTAGCTTTTTGTTCTCTTTCAGTAATTTTTCAAATTGATAGACCTAATTGTCTTTTTGTTTGACAACTTGAGAAATTATATTTTTTTAAATATATTAGCCTATTTTCACTTTTACATCTGATACTTGACCAAGAAAAAAGGTTGTTACACCTACAGTAGGCTAAAAATATCTTATATACAAATGTTTTAAATATAGATAAAAAATAAATCATACCAATTAATGCTGGTGGTACTGTGTGTTGAATTTGAAGGCACTGTTGTCAACATGTCAAAAACAACAAAATTAATCACCTTCAAATTTTGATGGCATGTACTGTGTAATTTACCAAGATTAATTTTAATTAGGCCTAATTGCATTACCTGTTGTAGTTCATAGCCGGTAATGACATCATCAAGAAATATTTGCATATTTTTTTTAGGACAGCAAGATTAAAGCTCTAAAAATGTAATAAATACTTTGTCTCAAATACAGATGACAATCATCTGCGCCAGAAATTAATTTCTTGTTCTTCCATTCATGGCTATTTTTAATCTTATTTCTCTCAAGATTCTGTTTGAATCATCTGATATTAAAATTGCATTTCTTAAAAAGCTCAGGTTCACCCCTCATCATGCAGGGTTAATATTTTATACATCATATTAACCACAGGTTGGCAAAGTGAGGACCAATGTCAATTGTGTTGTGACCTGCAAAAATAAAATAAAATACCTGTGTGTGGCCCATCTAACATTTTGGCTAAAAACATCACTTTTTGTTGCGGCCTGACGTTGAACATTTAGTAAAAAGTAACACATAGCATATAAAGGTAAGAAGGTATTTGTAAGCACATTGGAAACACCAATTTTTCACAATAACTTGGCCCTTCGACCGACTTTTATGCCCACCCGATTTACACAAACTTCCACTTGTCTGAAACTTCTCCCACTATCTGTATGTCCTAAAAACCTTCTTTTTATCCCTGCCCCTTGATTCACATCTAACACATAGCCCATCAACTTGGTTAAATACTACTGTAGTGCACTGAAACAAATTGCAATCTACAAGCATAAACACTATAAACCTGATTCAGGTTTATATTTTATGCTTTTGATTGCAATTTGTTAAGCTAACAACCAGTGTTTAATGTAGCAGACACAACATTCTATTAAAATAACACACTACAGTATGCCAAACAGATCGACAACCAATGATTTTTACACTTTAAAAACACTATTTTTCAGTCAAAGAGTGCTTTTCATATATCAAATTAGTAATACCCAGTATATGTTATCGATGCTCAACAGTTATCAATGTTCTAAAGTTGAGAGTTCATCACACTTAAAATGTATGGCATTTGTCAACTACTACCCAGACAGATTTTTAAAAAGCAGAAATTCAGACACTAATCAAATACTCAGTTTCCTAAGCCCTGAGTCACATAGCATCCAGGACTTCAAAGAAAAAAGACATTCAGGTACTAAGCAGGCTAATGGTTTCAGCTAACCATACCCAAGCATATTTTGCTGTAGTAAGACAGTACTGTACTTATTTTGGCAATTTCCAGTATTCAGTATGCCCCTATGGTAAGTGTACATCCTCTCCAGATGCTGCACCATACCCAGGCATAGTTACTGTCACTCCTACAAGCATCAGGGACACACAGCAATTTAGACACTGTACAGTACCATTTAAGGCATTACATCATACCAGGCACCACATACTGCAATATATATACGGCACGTACTGTACCATAAAAGGCTCATACCGCATAATACAAGGCTCATACTGCATAAAAGGCCACTACAGTACACCATACAGGGTACATACTGCACAACATACAAGACACTTACTGCACTGTACAAGGCACACCCTGCATTATAAAATGCACATACTGTAGGGTACATACTGTACAACATACAGGACACTTACTGCACTGTACAAGGAACACCCTGCACTATAAAATGCACATAATGTAGGGTACATACTGTACAACATACAGGACACTAACTGCACCGTACAAGGCACACCCTGCATTATAAAATGCACATAATGTAGGGTACATACTGTACAACATACAAGACTCTTACTGCACTGTACAAGGCACACCCTGCATTATAAAATGCACATACTGTAGGGTACATACTGTACAACATACAGGACACTTACTGCACTGTACAAGGAACACCCTGCACTATAAAATGCACATACAGTACTGCACCATACAAGGCACACAGCACCATACAAATAAAAGTAGCCACGTTAGCCTGCATAGAACAACATAAGAAATGGCAGATCTCAGCACTCGACAGCACCATACAAGCCACATACACCGCACTACCACCGCACATACAGTACTACGCCATACAATGCATATACTGCACCGGCAAATATTGCACCATACAATGTACATACAGTACTACACCATACAATGCATATACTGCACCGGCACATACTGCACCATACAATGTAATACAGTACTACATCATACAATGCATATACTGCACCGGCACATATTGCACCATACAATGTAATTCAGTACTACACCATACAATGCATATACTGCACCGGCACATATTGCACCATACAATGTAATACAGTACTACACCATACAATGCATATACTGCACCGGCACATATTGCACCATACAATGTAATTACTACACCATACAATGCATATACTGCACCAGCACATATTGCACCATAAAACGCACGTACTGCACCACACAAGGCACATACTGCACCATAAAAAACTCAGCACCACCACATAAAAGCACATACTGCACCATACCTGGCACTGGTACCATATAAGAAATTGGGCCATATATCAGGCACTTCACCATACCAATCACCGCCCTACACCAGGAACTGCACCAATATGCCAGGCATTTCATAATGTTGGTACTGGTGTGTTCAATGTGAAAATAAATGATAAATTTTTACAGTAATTAAAATAAGCCTATGGAGATACTATAACTTGAAAACAAAAAAATTTCTTAAGAATACTGTAAATACAAACTTACAAATTCTCTTTGTGTACAATTGCAATTCCTTTAAAGTATTCCATCGGAAAAGGAAGTCGGCAAATGCCAGTGTCCGGGATATTATCACCTGGAGCAGAACCACTGGCACCATTTCTTTCAGCCACTTATAAAGATTCATAGAAATCAATATGACTATAAAAATAAAATACCAATCACAGCCTTGCTTAAACCATCATTCCTAGAAGACAGTTAATTCCCTTACTCGCTGACGTTGAATATTGTAAAGTTTTAGTAGCTCTGGAGTCGCAAAACATAAACACAGCAAACATGCGGTAAATCCTGAACTTGCTTAAGGATGTGGTGAAATTTGTCATAAACCAATATTTAAAATAATCGATAACAACTGATCACTTCAAAATAGCTTCAAAATTTAACAAATATTTTTTTTCATGGAAAAGAATTCTCAAAGATGAACTTTGATAAAAATTGAGAACCGTCCTTGGGATGATGACGGTGAAACGGTACTGTAGTGTGTAGCACACTCGGCTGTCTGCCTGAGTAACTAACGATGGATCACCGACCAGCCACAGGAAACTGCTAAATTCCTCCTCTTAGCAACAGCTATTGAACTTGACAATCTGTTACATGAAATCTTTTAACAATGGGGATGGTCACAAGAAGCAATACACTTGGCTCAATTATAGCATGTGCAGTTTGCATAATAAAAAATCATAGCCACAGGTTGATATACCTTTTAATAATGGAACAGCCCAAATAAATATATTGCAATACAAATATTTTTATTGATGGTGTGATACTTGTGCAAATGTTAAGAATTTTATAATTTCTTGATGATTGAAGAATTTACATTATAAAAATTTTATTTCAACTTTTGATTGACTACCATTGGCAAATTTGACCTTAGCACAGATTATAGGGATCAATTTTGATAAGCTGTGATTAAGACAATAATTCTACATGTCAGATAAAGTACTTTTACTCATTATTAAAAGTACCTCTGGACATTATTTACAATATCATAATTTACAGTATACTTGATATGTCCATAAATCATATCTAGAAAAATCATAAAAAAAGAAATAGGCCTGATAATAACAACATTAAGAATAGAGCAAAGATGAACTACATAATAATCAAGTTTTTGCTATTACTGTATCTAACTGCTTGTTTAAAGGAACAAAAATTGTTGACTCACATTTTTTCTATATTTAAAAGGTAATTTGTCTCACTCGCAAAGGTATTTCTAAAATTATAGTTAAATACGTAACAATATTCAATATACGCCTTAGCACATATTTTTGTAATGGCATTATTTGGCCATTGAACTGGGCTCCACAAACACAGACTGATTATTATGGTACTCAAGCCTCGCAAAAGGCCTTTTTCAATAGTAGGCCTAATGAAATACTGTAGTAAAGTAACAAAAACACAAGAAATAATTAAAAATAATACTATTATTATTAACTAATTAATAAACAATAACAACAAATATGAATAGCATTAAATTTAATCGTAATACAATTAATAACAATAAATACAATGGTTAATTCATATTTTAGATTATCTATTTCTTTATGCTGTGTATTAATAAAATAATCCTTTCTCTCACAGAGCTTAAAGGCCTGTTAATACTTCAACGATAACGATAACAATAAAAAAGCTAAAAAGCAATTGTTCATATAGAAAATAAAAGAAATAAGAGAAGTTTTTACACTAGAAAGATTCAATAACGATTTATCAGTTATGCGATAACAACATATTTTGACAAATCAAATCCGATGACATCATAATCATGGAAAAACATTAAAATCGTAGTACAGTAGTAGCAACGATTTTATCGTTTTACCATGATTATGACGTCATCTGATTTGATTTGTTAAAATATTTTGTTATCGTATACACGATAAATCATTATCGAATCGTCCTAGTGTAAAAACTTCTCTTATTTCTTTTGGTTTCTATATGAACAATCGCTTTTTAGTTTTTTTATCGTTATCGTTATTGTTAAAGTATAAACAGGCCTTAACACTACAAATGAATACTCTATTAATACTGTGGCAAAACTGTATAAATAATGATTATAATAATTTAATAAATATGTACTGTTGTTCAGAATATAAAATTGATCAACCATAAGGTGTTTCTACCAAGGACATTTGCAAATTACAAATAATTGAAGAAAAAAAAATTAGAGTTAAAATATTGTAGTAATGAAAAACAACATGTAATATAAAAAACTTACCTTTCAGAGTCAATGGCCTTAACATGATAGAGTCAGATAATAATTTCCAAGCCATTAACAATATAAATATAGGCCTACTACAAATACTAACTGTAAGTGTATATAATGCAGTGCTATAGTTTATGATGATGTAATAAGAATAAGTATAATATGATACTGTATTAATTATTAATTTATTGACAAAAGTGTAATTAGTAACACATCTTCTAAGTGTATTTCAATGTTAATCATTAACAAAAACATATTTTGAACAACTAATATAAAAACAATAAAATTCCAAATTATGTTTTGATATCTGAGCTCATAGAGATGTCAAAATTATGACACAAAATATGCACAATTTTGATAATCATTAATCTGAACCATGTTAATAACTAATGAACTATAAATAGTTGCTTTGCTTTGATGGGGCACTTACATTTTAGAGCTTCTTCTTTGACTTACAAAGAGGTAAAAAATCAGTAATTCTTACAGAAATTATCTTAACTTAACTCGCTGTAAATTGCTTTAAAACCATTAATGCAACAACATTTTTGAAAATTCAGGGTGGGCTCAGTGAGAATGTTTCGGTTGGCAGTAACCAGAGAGCACCAAGTTTTTTTCCCCTGTATTTTAGGTTTAGGATTAAGTATCTAGAGTAGGTTTGTTATTGAATTTTTTTTCCCCATTGTTTATATTTTGCCACTGATCTGAAAGTGAGCCCAGTAAATCGTATCGTATTGCACATATGCGAACTGAGTGCTAGACCATTGTACTATCATTAATGATTAAATTATAAAGACCTTACACATGATTTGTACAGAATATTTGCACAGAAAAATAAAATTAAAAATGTTTACAAATCAATGAGGCCTAAATAGGATGTGGGAGGGGCAATCAACTTTTTCCTTTATTTATTTATTTTTTTTTTATAGCGCAATGTAGATTTTGTAATTTTTGTTCCAACCCTTTCCTGTTTTTATCAATGCACAACATTGACCATAGTGGTAATATTACATGACACTTTTAAAATTCTTCTCTATAAAAAAACAATAATAATTAGAGCTATGTTTTTCATTCCTACTTCATTTCATAAAATGTCACACAAACTTCCTACATTAAACCAACATTTAAAAATGACTAATTAGCTGTACACCGAAAATGTAAAACACCTCTTTTTTAAAGCTCTTTCAATATGAATGTTCAATATTGTTATAGAAACAACTAAGCCTGTTATCTCTACTGTGGACATCTGTGCAAGCAGAACTAATACTATACAAACACTAGGGAAGCGTGCAAATTTATGCAGTATGACAATTAATTTCAGAATAATTTATATAGATTTATATCATTATGTCTGACATATTGCATATGTTAACCAATATTTATAATTTTCCTGTATGTGTTTGATAATTTACATACTTCTTGTTCTGTTATCAACTATCAGTAGTCTGCAATATTATAGTATTCAAGCATGAAGGGTTGCCCGATGTGCCGGATGGTAAGGAGATCAAAGGGATAAATAATGTACAAAAAAAAAATACTTTTAATTGAATATTCGCTGATTGAGTGAGCAATTTTTCACCTCATTTCCTATCAAACAAATTTGATAGGCCAATCCAGCATTGCAATTAGTTTGAAATATGGGGTGTGCAAATATGGACAAACCAGGATATGGGAGTGGTGGGGTGGGGGTGGCACTGGTGAGGATCAATACTGCCCTATTGGTTACTAGTTTAAAAAGAAAAATGTTATAACAATATTTATTACAGAAAGTGAAAAATTTACATTCAGTATACTCTCAAGGTATTAAAAATAAGGACCTTTCCCTATTATTTTTAGGGTGGGTGGTGGGGTGCATGTGCACTCACCACACCCCTGGATATGCACCTATACACATGTACAATATACATGTCAATACAATATAGAACATATTTTATTGGGTCTCATCAAAATATTTTTACCTAGTTCCATTATTGATTCATAGACTGGCAGTCATTGCCACCATTCAAATGCTTCATTAAACCATATTGATACCTTATGTTTCAGCACACAGGGCTCATGACCTTCCGCTACTGTTTTTGTTGTTTAAGTATTAAGTGACCACTTGAAGCTACAATTGTATATAAAGTATGCTTGATTTAATTATTATGAAATATATACAGAGTACTGTACAATCAGAATTAAGCGAAAAAAATCCTTACATGAAAATGTACTCGTATTGATAGTTGTACCGTGTCTCTTTGACTATATCGGAATGTATACCCCACACATGCAAATTTATACACAAAACAAGAGTATGTGATATGAGAACCTATCCGGGACAGGGCCTTGTGTTTTCGAGCATCTGCAGAGCGCAGAACACAGTTGATGACTCTGTATTAGGGACTTTTAGATTGTGTGGACGTGGACCTGGTTCACGTCGTCTTGTCATGCGTGTCAATGTAGTCAACTACACCTGTTGACTACAAACGAAAACCTTTTAGATTTCAGTTGACATATAGCGCGTGCTAGGCAACCATATTAAGCAGCTGTCATGGCGAACCTTCATCGACTTCGCGAAATTGTCATCTTTGCATACTCTACAGGTGTCTTGGACGATGAGGAATTCATGTTTTTATACAATACAAATAAACCCAAAAATGACGAATTCAGGTACCGAGATTATCAGAAATTTGATCTAGACAAGTACAACAATGATGAATGTAATGCATAATTCAGGGCGCATCCGGTGTGTCATCTGCGATGATGCAGATAGTTAGGAGGCCTCCCCGGCAGGCCGCGCTCGATGCGGGGCAAGTTTGCATTGCATGCACACTGGCGTAAGCACACTCATGAATTTCCACAGCCTTTTTTGTGTTTACGAAGGCAGTAGAAATTACATAACTGCCTGTGCATTAAAAAGCAAATAATACAGATTAAATCAACGCAAGTTAGAAACTTCCCTCTGCCTCAGTTGGACGAACTAGTAAAAGCAGCGTTCCCACTATATTTTCATCTTCCATCTTTAAACTTCACAAGTGAGCACGGCGTCCTAGATTTAGGACGACGGAAAAAACGAGGTGAACACGTTCTCGATTTTGGTAGTGGACGTGGGAGACATTAAATCAGTATATTGTAACATTATCAACCCCCACCCCTCCACCCACAACTTGGAATTCTATTATGGACTAATAGGAAGGCCGATACATGCTTTCCAAAAATACAAAATATTATCATACTGTCCGCCAAAAATTATTTATTTTTTTTCAAGTTGCAATGGA